ATACCTCGCCTTATCTCATTAATGAAGCTGAGGTTTAGCCCTTCGTATAAACAGGTGAATGAATGGTTAGCTGCTCTACATAAACATAGTCGTGCACGCCTCTTATACGCCGAGCGTGGTGTTATCGACAAAGCTTATACAAGGAATTTTAGTAAACAAGTAAGAAGTTAAAATTTGGAAGTGGAGGCATTGTTTTGTGGCAATAATTTGAGTCCAAGAGTTTTTGCAAAAGCTAAGGTTATTGCAAGACTAAAGAAGGAATAATTATAAAAAAGAAAGCTGAATTCGGGTAAATATTTATCTTCACGAATTTTTTATAATCTAGTAAACCGGATTATTTATTTAATGAAATAATTATCTATCTTCACAATTTATTGGAGCTCTGGGAAATACCTATTAACACAAAATTACGAAAATTAAAAATTTCTAATTCAATCCAACGGATTCTTTTATCAATTTTTTACCACATCTTGTTAATGATTAATTCAATCACTAAATAATCACTAAATAAAATTTTTAAAGTGGGAATTTTACAAGAATTAATCATATTCTTCGACTATTAAATAGCAATTTCTATATTTTTTTCCAGTTCTTTCATTTTTGCTCACATAAAATGCAAGATTTCTTTGTGCATCTAACGTTATGTCGCAAAGCTAAACTTTTAACTCACTTGCTTAATGATCCGTCACACTGAAATTAATAGGTTGTTAGCGATGAACAATTAATTAAGAAACGACGTGTACCAGAAAAAATCAAGAAAATAAATAGTATAGTCCACAAATGATAGTATAGATAAAAATTATGTATTCACGAGCTAAATTCCATACTTTATCCATTGTTTGAAGAGTAATATAACATAACGATTTATATAATAAATTGAATCAGTTTTTTGCTTAATAAATCATTTTGTGAATAATCTCTTGTAATATAACTTTTCAATTATGTAAGCATGAATTGTCTTTATAATAAACTTGCTATACCAGGAAACGGAACAGTTAGAGGCCCAAAGTATCACATGATGTTAATGAGTATATAGAACTAGAGAACGGTAAACCATTGTAAAGTCCGGAGCAATCAATACACCGATGCTTGCTTTGTGAAGTTTTTATGTAACGACGGAAGTCAATCGACTTAATTATCGAGGCGGACGTAAGTTCTTCGCTAATGCTCCGATGATTTTTGCCTTGATAATGTAATTAATTTTGAGATAAATTAAACCTAATCCTCCCTAACATCATAACAATGTTCTTTCATAAACGTTTATGGAATGTTAAAATTACAGTACAAGCTTTAATAAAATTATATATTCAATTTGAGGCTTTAACATGATTTAATAAATGAAAAGAATTTTTAAATAAAATATTTTGTATTTATTGAAATAAATAAGTTATATAGTAAAGTTTAATAATTTATTAGAAAAGGTGATCTAATTGGTACCTGTTCTTGTAAACACGGAGTTTATGAAAAAGAGATGATAATTTTTCATAGACGATTATGAAGTACTTCAAAATTATAAAGTCGAAAAGGATTGAATTTTAGTTGAAATAAAATAAATTTAATAGGATATTGATTAATTTTTTTAAAATAGATTTCTCGTATTTGAGATTAAATAAAATGTTCTCATTTGTTCATCTTTTTAGTTACGTTACAATCATCTTTTATATATTGGGATATTTTATCGCAAAAAAAGGTCTGCCAATTCTTTTCAAATTTGAACCGTAATTACATCGACGGAAATATTAGAAGATAGTGAATATTATGATGTTTATAATTGATGTTGGTAAAGAGTAGAGACCTAAATATAAATATTTCGAGCACATACGAATATTTTGGTGTTACCGGTTCCATATTTATGATAACATTATTTAATGTATTACATATACTTTCTTAGCATTAAAAATTTATATCTATGTAGGTATACTGTATTTAGGGTGGAATTGTTTTATCGGATGAACAGAATACTTCAGATATTCTTAAAGTGCAGACCAGGGATTAACTTAATTGAAATAAAGCGGATTGGTTGGAAAACATTTTAAACTTATCCATCGAACAAGCTTTCAATCCAATAATTTATTAGAACTACAAAAATTTTGTACAGACTTTATCTAAATCTCCTGACAAGATTTTGTATCACGTGATTTTACCTCACTTCCAGAAAAATCCTTAAAGATGATTTACCGAATGAAGTAAAACGAAGTTTGGGAACATGTATTAAAATGGATTCGCTCAGAATACTAAGATAGGACCCAGAAATATATATATAGGGGTCAGGTGATGAAAAAAATTTTTTACTATGAGCTGTACGCATTTTTTCAGGGCCGGAATTATGATAATGCCAGTCGGTTACTATAATAGGAAATAAAATTCTGACTGGCATTATCAAAAATTATCTAAAAAAGGAAAGATTTTCATGATTTTTTTAGTTCAAAATACGCAAACTCAAACCTGACCCTTATATATATATTTCTGGGTCCTACTAAGATCCTGTTACTTGGACAGATGATGATTTAAAACAATGGAAATTCTTTACAATATTGTTTTAATTAGATTTAATTTATCCTTAGATTTATTAAAATATTATTTGGATTTTGACGAGAAATAATTTCTTAACCTCCTAGAAACGTAAAATTTGGTTCAAAAATTGTTAATCTAAACATTATTTCTCTAATTTCAAAGTGGATTGATAAAACAGATGTTAATATTAATGTTGTTTATCAAATATGATTGTATTTTTAAATTATTAGAGATGGATTCCCTCCTGTTAGGTTTCATTCTTTATATGATATTATACCTAAAACTGTTACATATATTAAAGAAACAGATGAAATTCTTGATGGATATAATCCTATATTATATGAGAAATTTATAATAGCTGGCGTGAAACAAAGATAGTTTATATTTTCTTTAAATATAAGAATGGTAAAGAATTAAATTGCGGTGGACCATCATTTAGTCGGGACATTATTTTATATGGGTCTGAGGAATTTATTGTCAGCAAAAATATTGTGATAAATGGGATATTAATTAGTCTTAAAATAGCGTTATATTTTTGCGCATAAATTTTACGTCTAAATTCTATTTATATAAGATTCGCGCATCGAGTAGGTCATCCGTTTTTTTGCGTTACGTTATACGATCTGTAACGATCATTTATATATATATATATTGCCACGTTCATTTTTACACACGAAAATGTCTATCCAATTTTTTTCAAATTTGAGCAAAAATTACATTGAAATATTGGAAGATGATGAATATTATGATATTACAATTGAAGTTGGGGAAGATCCAAACGTAAAAATATTCCATGCGCATACAATTATTTTGTGTCACCGCTCCCCATACTTACGACGAGCTTTGGCTAATAAGAGGAATAATAATAATAGTGGTGTCTTATCTCATATAAAATTACCGAATATTTTACCAGAAATCTTTCAAATTATTTTAAAGTAAGGTTATAAATACTGTATAAATAATAACTTCAAATATATTTTTTTTTAATTTTAACTCTCACGTTTTTTAACGTAGGTATATTTATGGTGGAATTCTTTCATTGAATGAGCATGATACTTTAGAAATTCTCAAAGTTTTGATTGCTGCAAATGAATTATTACTTAACGAATTAGTTGATTATTTACAAACATATTTAATTGAGTACAAAGTGGATTGGATAGAACAACATTTTGAGCTTACTCATCGAACAAGCTTTCAATATAATAATTTATTAGAACTTCAAAAATTTTGTACGAGTTTTATGGCTAAATTTCCCGAAAAGATATTTAAATCACTTGACTTTACTTCACTCCCTGAAAAATCTTTAATTTCACTTCTTAAAAGAGATGATTTACAAATGAAAGAAATCGAAGTTTGGGATCATGTATTAAAATGGGGACTTGCAAAAAATCCTACGTTTATTCCAGACCCTGTTACTTGGACAAACGATGATTTTAAAACAATGGAAAATTCTTTACAATATTGTTTACCTTTAATTAGATTTTATAATTTATCTTCTAAAGATTTTTTAGAAAAAATTCATCCATATAAAAAATTGTTAAAACATCAATTATATGAAGACTTATTAAAGTATTTTTTAGATTTTGAAAGTGAACCGAATAATAATTTCTTACCTCCTAGAAATGGAAAACTTGATTCAAAAATTGTTAATTTAAATATCATTTCTCTAATTTCAAAATGGATTGATAAAGTGGAGATCGAAAGTAGATTTGCTAGTAGAAATGAATTATATTTACCATATGAATTTAAATTATTATTAAGAGGAAGTCGAGATGGATTCACTCCTGATAAGTTTCATTCTTTATGTGATAATATGTCTAAAACTGTTACATTCATTAAAGTAAAAGGAACAGATGAAATTCTTGGTGGATATAATCCTATTATATGGGAAACTAATAAGGATTGGGGCGAAACCAAAGATAGTTTTATATTTTCTTTTAAATATAACAATGGTATTTTTAAAGATGGAATTATGAGTAGTGTAAAAGTTATAAATCATGCGATAATTTATGGCCAACGTTATGGACCATCATTTGGTTCTGATCTTATTTTATATGGATCTAATAAAACAAAAGATTATGATGTAATTTATTTTAAATTAAAAGATTATGAAAAAGAGATAAGAGATAGAGAAGGTTTTTCAATAGAAGATTATGAAATATTTCAAGTTATAGATCTATAAATAAAATGGATAAGATTGAATTTAAAATGAATTTAAATAAATCTTAAATAAAATAGCGTTTATGCGCAATGGATAATTAATTACTTGACGCGAAAAATTTTACGTCCTTATCATCAATATTATTTAAATCCCGTTTATATTGGATTCCTGCATTGTAAATTCTAGGTTCGAGTAAACAGGATAAGTTATTTAAATATTTCATTTTTTGTTGATCCACGCCGGAATAAAATTTATTTGCGTCACGTAATACAATCATCTATTTTATCGTTATATATATGCCCCGCACAACCTTTTTTACCACAAAATGTCTACCCAATTTTTTTCAAATTTGAGTAGAAATTATATTGAAATATTAAAAGATAGTGAATATTATGATGTTACAATTGAAGTTGGAGAAGATCCAAATGTAAAAATATTCCGAGCACATATGAATATTTTATGTCACCGTTCTCCATATTTACGACGAGTTTTGGTTTCTAATAATAAAAAGAATAATAATGACGGTGTCTTGTCTCATACGAAATTACCAAATATTTTACCAGAAACCTTTCAAATTGTATTAAAGTAAGCTATAAACACTATTTAACGTATTATACTTTTTACATTTTGCTTAGAATTAAAAATTTTATATTTAGATATATTTATGGTGGAATTCTTTCATTAGATGAAGAGAACACTCCAGATATTCTTAAAGTGCTGGTTGCAGCAGATGAATTAATTCTTCATGAGTTAGTTGATTATTTACAAACATATTTAATTGAAAATAAAGCGGATTGGTTGGAAAAACATTTTGAACTTATTCATCGAACAAGCTTTCAATCCAATAATTTATTAGAACTACAAAAATTTTGTACAGAATTTATGGCTAAATCACCTGACAAAATTTTTGAATCACTTGATTTTACCTCACTTCCAGAAAAATCTTTAGTTTCACTTCTTAAAAGAGATGATTTACGAATGAAAGAAATCGAAGTTTGGGAACATGTATTAAAATGGGGACTCGCACAAAATCCTACGCTCACTCCTGATCCTGTTACTTGTACAGATGATGATTTCAAAACAATGGAAAATTCTTTACAATATTGTTTACCTTTAATTAGATTTTATAGTTTATCTTCTAAGGATTTTTTGGGAAAAGTTCGTCCATATAAAAAATTATTAAAACATCAATTATATGAAGACTTATTAGGATATTATTTAGATCTTGAAAGTAAACCGAGTAATAATTTCTTACCTCCTAGAAATGGAAAGTTCGATTCCAAAATTGTCAATTTAAATATTATTTCCCAAATTTCAAAATGGATCGATAAAGTGGATAGCAATAGCAAATTTGTTCATACGAGAGAATTATATTTACCATATGAATTAAAATTATTATTAAGAGGAAGCCGAGATGGATTCACTCCTAATAAGTTTCATTCTTTATGTGATGATAAGCCTAAAACCGTTACATTCATTAAAGTAAAAGGAACAGATGAAATTCTTGGTGGATATAATCCTATTATATGGGAAACTAGTAACAACTGGGGTGAAACCAAAGATAGTTTTGTATTTTCTTTTAAATATAAGAATGGTCTTTTTAAGGATGGAATTTTAAGTAATGTAAAAGAAATAAATCGTGCATTATGTTATGGTCAATCTTTCGGGCCATCATTTGGTAATGGCGATCTTATTTTATTTGGGGATAATAATACTGGTGATTATAACGAAATTTATTGTGAACAAGAATCTTACGAAAAAAAGATAAGAGATGCAGAAGGTATTTCTTTTTTTTCAATAGACGATTATGAAGTATTTCAAATTATAAAGTTATAAATAAAATAATTAAGATCGAACTTTAATTGAAATAAAAATGAGCTTAATAGTTTATGCAATTAATAATATAATTATTGGCGCATAAACCTTATGGCTTATTCCTAAATCCTGTTTATAAAATTTCTCGCATCTTTTAGAACTGCATCCACCAGTAAAAATTATTTGTGTTACGTTATACAATCATTTTATTATATATATGTACGTTTATTGCGCACAATTTTTTATCGCAAAAAAGTCTACCCAATTTTTTTTAAATTTGAGTCGAAATTATATTAAAATATTGAATATTATGATGTTACAATTGAAGTTGGAGAAGATCCAAATGTAAAAATATTCCGAGCGCATATGAATATTTTATGTCACCGATCTCCATATTTACGACGAGCTTTGATAAAAAGAATAATAATGACGGCGTCTTGTCTTATACGAAATTACCAAATATTTTACCAGGAATCTTTCAAATTGTATTAAAGTAAGCTATAAACATTATTTAATGTATTACGCAACGCATACCTTCTACATTTTGCTTAGAATTAAAATTTTATGTTTAGATATATTTATGGTGGAATTCTTTCATTAGATGAGGAGAACACTTCAGATATTCTTAAAGTGCTGATTGCAGCAGATGAATTAATTCTTCATAGTTAGTTGTTTATTTACAATCATATTTAATTGAAAATAAAGCGGAAAAACATTTTGAACTTATTCATCGAACAAGCTTTCAATCCAAAATTTTGTACAGAATTTATGGCTAAATCACCTGACAAAATTTTTGAATCACTTGATTTTACCTCACTTCCAGAAAAATCTTTAGTCTCACTTCTTAAAAGAGATGATTTACGAATGAAAGAAATCGAAGTTTGGGAACATGTATTAAAATGGGGACTCGCACAAAATTCTACGCTTACTTCGGATCCTGTTACTTGGACAGATGATGATTTCAAAATAATGGAAAATTCTTTACAATATTGTTTACCTTTAATTTGATTTTATAGTTTATCTTCTAAGGATTTTTTAGAAAAAGTTCGTCCATATAAAAAATTGTTAAAACATCAATTATATGAAGATTTAATAAAATATTATTTAGATTTTGAAAGTGAACCGATTAATAATTTTTTATCTCCTAGAAACGTAAAATTTGACTCGAAGATTATAAATCTAAATATCATTTCTCTAATTTCAAAGTGGGTTGATAAAGTAGAGGTCAAAAGTGGATTTGCCTGTAGAAATTGTAGAAAAGAATACGAATTTAAATTATTATTAAGAGGAAGGCGAGATGGATTCACTCCAGATAAGTTTCATTCTTTATGTGATAATAAACCTAAAACCGTTACTTTCATTAAAGTAAAAGGAACAAATGAAATTCTTGGTGGATATAATCCTCTTATATGGGAAACTAGTAAAAGCTATGGTGAAACTAAAGATAGTTTTATATTTTCTTTTAAATATAAGAATGGTCTTTTTAAAGATGGAATTCTAAGTAATGTAAAAGGAATAAATTGTGCATTATGTGATGGTCAATCTTATGGGCCATCATTTGGTAATGGCGATCTTATTTTATATGGGGTTAATCAAACTAGTGATTATAATAGAATTTATTGTAAACAAATATCTTACGAAAAAAAGATAAGAGATGCAGAAGATAAATTTTTAATAGACGATTATGAAGTATTTCAAATTATAAAATTATAAATAAAAATAATTAAGATCGAACTTCGTTCTTTAATTGAAATAACAATAAGCTTAATAGTTTATATATAGTTTATTTAATTCATGTATAAAATATATAATTATTGGCGCATAAACTTTATTCCCAAATCCTGTTTATAAGATTTTTCGCATCGAGGTAAAATAAAGATATTCATCTTTTAGAGCTGCATCCCAGTAAAAATTATTTGCGTTACGTTATACAATCATTTATTATATATATGTACGTTTATTTCACAAAATTTTTTATCGCAAAAAAATGTCTACCCAATTTTTTTCAAATTTAAGTAGAAATTATATTGAAATATTGGAAGATAGTGAATATTATGATGTTACAATTGAGGTTGGAGAAGATCCAAATGTGAAAATATTCCGTGCACATATGAATATTTTATGCCACCGTTCTCCATATTTACGACGAGCTTTGATTTCTAATAATAAAAAGAATAATAATGACGGTGTCTTGTCTCATACGAAATTACCAAATATTTTACCAGAAATCTTTCAAATTGTATTAAAGTAAGCTATAAACACTATTTAATGTATTACACAACGCATACCTTTTACATTTTGCTTAGCATTAAAATTTTATGTTTAGATATATCTATGGTGGAATTCTTTCATTAGATGAGGAGAACACTTCAGATATTCTTAAAGTGCTGGTTGCAGCAGATGAATTAATACTTCATGAGTTAGTTGATTATTTGCAAACATATTTAATTAAAAATAAAGCGGATTGGTTGGAAAAACATTTTGAACTTATTCATCGAACAAGCTTTCAATCCAATAATTTATTAGAACTACAAAAATTTTGTACAGAATTTATGGCTAAATCACCTGACAAAATTTTTGAATCACTTGATTTTACCTCACTTCCAGAAAAATCTTTAGTTTCACTTCTTAAAAGAGATGATTTACGAATGAAAGAAATCGAAGTTTGGGAACATGTATTAAAATGGGGACTTGCACAAAATCCTACGCTTACTCCTGATCCTGATACTTGGACAGATGATGATTTCAAAACAATGGAAAATTCTTTACAATATTGTTTACCTTTAATTAGATTTTATAGTTTATCTTCTAAGGATTTCTTAGAAAAAGTTCGTCCATATAAAAAATTATTAAAGCATCAATTATATGAAGATTTAATAAAATATTATTTAGATTTTGAAAGTGAACCAAGTAATAATTTTCTACCTCCTAGAAATGGAAAGTTCGATTCCAAAATTGTCAATTTAAATATTATTTCTCAAATTTCAAAATGGATCGATAAAGTGAATAGTGATTGCAAATTAGTTTATACAAGAGAATTATATTTACCATATGAATTCAAATTATTATTAAGAGGAAGCCGAGATGGATTCACTCCTGATAAGTTTCATTCTTTATGTGATAATAAACCCAAAACCGTTACATTCATTAAAGTAAATGGAACAGATGAAATTCTTGGTGGATATAATCCTATTATATGGGAAACTAAATATAGTCATAATTATTGGTGTGAAACCAAAGATAGTTTTATATTTTCTTTTAAATATAAGAATGGTCTTTTTAAAGATGGAATTCTAAGTAATGTAAAAGAAATGAAGTATGCATTAAATTATGGCCAATATCGTGGACCATCATTTGGTTGGGATCTTTATTTATATGGAAATAAAAATAGAGATTATGATGATATTTATTGTAAACAAAATTATTATGAAAAAAAGATAAGCGATACAGAAGATAATTTTTCAATAGAAGATTATGAAGTATTTCAAATTATAAAGTTATAAATAACTAGGGAAACGGTAAACCGTTACGTAGTCCGGAGCTCGTCACGTGATTTGTAATTATCTAGACGCTGAGAGGATAATTAGCTAAGAAATGTCACAGTCAAAGGGGGAATCAATGTATCGAGAAAAGTTTAATTAAAATATAATTTATCTGAATACAGCATAGGGTAGAAAATAATAATAAATTTAGTTGAAATAATTAGATAATTGTGTTGGCTAGTGATAAAATAAATCAATTAATGTATGAAACAATCATATTTTAATAAATAAAGAACAATTAGAACAGAACAATTTGAACGTCAAAGCCACAAAATCACAATGTCCCAAATAACAATAAAATCACACACTAATTTTTATTTTCTCACTATAAAATAAAAGATAAAAACTAAATAAGATGAATAAATTTTACTAATACAGGTATTTTGATAAGGACAAAAAAAAATCCAAGACACCGGAACATCAAGAGGCTCATCTGAGAAAAAAATATAAAATAAAAATATAAAAATGAATGATTCCACTAATCCAGAAACTATACGAAAACGAAACAAAAAAAAACAAGAGACAAATGAACAGCGATCAAAACGTCTTGCACGAGAACGAGAATTAAAATGGCAAAAAAGAGCAAGGGAAACAGAACAACAACATGAGGAGCGTCTTCAAAGTATTCGGGAAGGAAGAAAAAGGAAAAAGATGACGGAAACTAACAGTGATCGGGAAAATCGGAAAAATTGGGAAAACCAACGTAGACAAGCTGCGCGTAAACGAACCCGTAAATTAAAAAACCGAAATGTATTAAAAGGAAGAAACATCAACCAACAAACACGACAAGATCATGAAGGACGAGAAATAGAGGAAGCTTACGTGGAAAGTGATAACACGGATTCCGACTCTCATCCTACACGGAATTCAGCCACCACCATGAGCGAAGAAGAAATCAGTATGTTGCAGGATTTCCGCATAAAAATGGAGAATATACGTTATAATCTTTGCAACGTATGTCAAGAGCGAATACCTTTATTAACGCTTGTCAAAGGGACATGTAAAAGGTGTTATTATGAAAAAAATACCGGGGGTACGCCGAAAAAGTTTTCTGGGGGTAATAATATGCATCCAGGTGACGTTCCCGACGAACTTAAAGGACTTAGTGAAATAGAAGAAATGCTTATTTCTCAGGTTTTCACTGTGATGACAGTATACCGGCTGCGTGGTGGACAAAACGGCTATAGAGGACACGTGATTAATTTTCCTCAGGATATCCAGGGCTTTACGAAACAACTTCCGCGTGATCCAAGATCTCTGGATGTTCTTGTTGTACGCCGGCAATCATCAAACAATTCAATGGTGTTCAGGGATTTTACTGTACGAAGGAGCAAAGTGTGCAAAGCACTATTATGGTTAAAGGAAAACAATCCTTACTATGAAGACATAATAATTGACACAAATATTCTTCAATCCTTACCCGAGAATGATTCCATTTTCAACATGCTCCCACAACTTCAAGATGATGAATCGGGAGAAGATGACGGCGATAACATTGAAGACGGAGAAGACGTATCAAGAACGTTTGTACCATTAATGCCCCCAACACAACGAGAAGGTGAAGCCATAAACGCAACTCTCGATCGAATGCAAAATGACAATCCTCCGTCGCTATGGCCTGAAATCGAAGGCGTACCTATAAACGAATTCCATACGCCTGGTTACATGGTTAGAGCTTTCCCCACGCTTTATCCATATGGAAAAGCTGACCTTCGTTCAGCACGTGTTAAAGAAGTAAAGCCTGCCGAATATTTCAGGCATCTTTTATGGTACAAAGATGGAAGATTCGCGC